AGAGTTAATTCATTTACTGTGTCCTAAAGTTTGCACATGTGTAGATAATGGCACTCTACTGTGGAGCCAATTAGTCAACTCTGCAGTAAAATGCATGTGTAGATGCACCCAGTAGATCACAAATGACTCCAAGGCTCAGATTCTCCATAGTTTCTCAGTAACGTCCGTGGCCAATGTATATCTTATGCTAGTAGTATTGCACATAGGTTTTATGGCATCCACACACACATGTCACAGGTACCATTGATCATAATCCTGTTTCACTTCACATGCCCAAATTGGAATTACCCAGCTGCATGACTGTTGCTTTTCTGCACAGAAACACAGTTTCCTTAAGTATGTGCATTGTGGATCCATGACTGGCTGGTATCTAATGCCAGAGCAGGAGGAGTGGGGGCCCTCCCATATTTTACTTCAATAACCTAGTGATTTGTAGGCCTGTGCAAAGTGGTTAGTATTCACTTTGGATTCAGGTTCGGCCAATTCGGGGACAGTGATTCGATTCAGTGATTCAAATCACTGTCCCAAAATGATTTGGATGAATCAGCCCTATCCCCTGCCCACTCTCAATGGCTGCCCCGCCCACTCTCCCATCTCCTGGCTCTTTGAAAAAAAAAGCCCACACTCAGCAGCTGCTGCTAGGCAGGGGGGTGATTCCACTGGCCCCTGTTGCCCCATGCTGCATGGGGGGCTCTGTTGTGAGCCTCCCAGCCCCCCCCCCCCACGGCTGCTCCACCAACCCCAGCTCCCAGCCCTTAAAAAAAAAAAAAAAAAACACTTACATGCTGTGTGGGGGGCTCTGCCACAAGCCCCCAGAAGGCTCAAGGCCACTGCAGCAGCTGCTGAGTTAGGGGTGGTGTTGTTTTAAAGGGCCGGGAGCTGGTGCAGGCAGGGCAGCCATAGCAGGGGCCTGGGAGAGCAGGTGGGAGCTGTGAGGCTCGTGGCAGAGCCCCCCACAAAGTGTGGTGCAGTGGGGATTGCCCCCTGCCTGGCAGCAGCCAGTTAGTAGGGGCTTTTTTAAAAAAGTTGGGAGCTGGGGCTGGGACTGGGTAGATGGGCATGGGGGGTGGGGCTGGGAGAGTGGGCAGGGGACACTCAGAGAGGCTGTAGGAGCAGGCAGGAGATGGGGCCTGGCAGGGGTCCCCCCATGGTCTCCTCCCCAATCTTCTAGCTCCTCTCCCCCAACCCCTACTTACCAGCATGGAGTCCAGGTCCAGCTCCCTGCTTCAAATTGATTCAGACCTTTTAATTGGTCTCCTAATTCAATTCAATTTGATTCAGATTTGTAGACTTGGCCACTGAATTGGGCTGAACCTCTTCCAAATCAAATCAGCTTCGCACAGCCCTAGTGATTAGGGCACTTGCCAGTAAATAGGTTGCCCGAGTTCTAGGCTTTCCTTATTCTGAAAGAAAACTGGTAATGGTACTGAACAATGCTCAACCCAGTGATTCTCAAACAGGATGTTGCAGGATGCTGCTCAATATTAGGACTGTTAGATATGTAGACATATATACACAATTCACAAAATAAACCCAGAAATTTCAAATAGGTGCCCATGGTATCAAAAACCTTTAAAACTGTTGTTTGAATTCCTTGTGATAGAAGAATTGCCTAATTATTTTTCCAAAACAGAGAAAACAAGGAAAAGGTAGGGGTTGGTATTTTCTGAGGATCGCTTTGAGTGTAACAGGGTTAAAAAACCTGTGGCTTAGTCACTGAGGCAGTGTTCTGGGAAGTTGAAGAGATGCAAATTCAAAACCCTTCAGGGTGAGAGGAGCCTAGAAGCTGAGTCTTTTGTTTTCCAATCAAGTACCTCAATCACTAGGCTGCTTGGCTGAAAAAAAGGGCAGGTCCTTTTTCTAGCTAGATCAAAATTTCAGAACTTGGGCTTAGGTGTACACATATGGAACCACAGACATGCCTGGTCAGAGCACAGCCTACTCTGCATGCTCATTAGCAGTGTAGATGCTTACATGTCCACACTGAAAATAGACTAGGATCTCAAATGGCAGTTATGAGGTGGGGCATTTCAGCATGTAGAGTGAACTAGGATTCTGCTTGTTTATCCTAAATACTTTGTTTCCTGATCTTTGTGAGGATCTTTCAATAAGTTCAAATATTTGGAGAGAGGAAGGTGGGATGGCAGAGGGCAGCTGCCTCCTGCACAAAGGTACATTATAATGAAACATCCAGATCTGTATAGGACTTTTTAAAGGGTTGTTGTCAACTTTTGGTATCTGTGCAAAATTTCCCTTAATGGTAATAGGAAATCCGCACATGAAATATGTCATGGTGTTTGGATTTATAAATGCAGAGATGCTAAAGCTAGTAAAAATATCTGTTAGGGCCTAGAAGCAACAATGCAAATCATTTGTCACCTTTTCTTTGCATTTTAGTCCAACATTTATTTTAAAGTGGTATGAAAATGTTAAGTTCTAAATTTTCATGTGTCTGCTATTTGTATGTACTCCAGTATTTGGGGTAATGGTATGATACAGCCAGGGCTTGATACTTAGAAGAGCTGAGTACATGTAGTTCCATCAGGGTCAACTGGTGTGCATGTGCTCAACATTTAGGAAAATCATGCCTTGGGTATACTAACAATCTTAAAAACCAAAATTAAAGGATACTATGAAAATATGTCTAACATTTATATAGATCTATAAAATTTGTGATAACGTGTAGTACAAGAAGGGGAAACTCAAAATGAATGGATTGGATTAATACAGCACTTTCACTGGATTCCTATTAGGGGTGTGTGAAAGGGGCAATATTCAAGTTGGATTTGGATTCAGCCTGATTTGGGGGACAGCAATTCGGCCATAGACACAGCTTTAAATGGTTTTTCTATGTACGTCAAGGTACCAGACATGGCTCATGAACGCTGTTATGGTGGGGCAGATGGAACATCTCACAGGAGCATAGCTCCCCCCATGTTCGGCGGTGAACCCAGAAGTGGACTGGAAATACTTCTGGTCAATTTCCAGGTCTGCCGCCAAGCATGCGGGCCACCCTCCCCTGCACCCACCTCAGCCGCAGGGGACCCCGGGTGTCCCCCCCGACCCAGGAGGCACCAGTCACCAAGCCGGGGGGTGGGGTCCCCCACACACCCCGCGGTGGACCTGGAAGTGGACCAGAAGTGCTTCTGGTCTGCTTCCAGGTCCCCTGCTGAGCACGCTGGGGACCCCCCTGTGTTCCCATGGGACGCTCCATCTGCCTCAACATGTCAGCATTCATGAGCCACCTGGTACCTTGAGGTATGTAGAAAAATCATTTAAAACTGTGTCTATGTCTGAATCATCAAATCACTCTGAATCGATTCAGAGGGTTCTGATTCAGTTCAGAGATATTAAAGGGTTTCCTGAAATTCAATTCAGATTCGGAGATTCGGCCACTGAATTGAATCAGCAACTGAAGCTTCACACAGCATTAATTCCAATGCTGGCACTTGGGAAGCATGGCTTGAGAACAGACCTTTAGGCAATAGGACCACTGCAGAAGCAGAACACTTAATTCCAGTGAAAATGATCCATTTGCTTGACAGCCAAACCAGGATCAAACGGGATTGTGACATAGCCTCACACAAAGTACCTCAAGTAGAAGGAACATTGTTAATTCTGCAGAAATCAAAGGATAGTGGGAGTAAAGGCTGTATTCTTCTACGAGTGAAGACACGTTCTCCAGTTTGCACTCGTTGAATCTCTGTTTTTTCCATCAAGGAAGTATAGTTGTAGCTAGATGGAAAGGCTAGGTGTTCCATCCTCAGAAATCTGTTGATCCCTGAGGAGAAAGGCAACTGTGTTTCAACCATTGTCTCTGTCTCCCAATTCCCCTTCTTGTTTCTGTGGATAGCATGACTTCCCCGACTTGGGGTTCCTGCACCACTTCTGTCCTATATGCCATTTCCTTGTGAGTGACAGTTCTATATAATAGAGAATAATGAGCATATCCTCTGGTATAATTTAACCTGTTTTGCCCTGCACATTGATTTGGGGTGGGTAGGGAAATCTAATCAAGATATGCTTTCTCAGTTTCAGAGCTTGTAGAGATAATGCCGTTCATTTTCCCCTCAACTGATGGCATAGGCATCAGCTGTGAGGATTCCACTTACGAAAGAGAATTTGTGGGATATAGAAGAGTAAAATGGATAACTGTCCAAACTCTGAAAAACTGTAATTTCACAAATGCATTTATAAACAGAATATCCAGATTTCTTATGTTCAGAATAGAATCAGCTGAGTTGTTAACATCACATGGATGTTAGACCCTATCTAGTCTCGGATGGAGAGACCAAAATAATTATTTTTTCATTACTGCAATCCCAGTGTACAAGATATAGCAATACTTACAAGTTTTTTTATTGTCATATGTGATGTCTAAGATCAAATAACAGGTGGTTTTTCAGTGAAGGGACCCACATTAGAGACACTTTAGTAATTGGAAATGTAGGTTTCACCCATGACTAGTATTAAGTCAATATACTGTAAGCGATAGGAAAAAAAAAGCAATGCACTTTAAAAGACCCATGTGTGTAAGTAAACACATTTCTGAACACAGGGGATGAGAAAAATCTAATTTAGGACGTTACATTTGAATCACCTCAGCAGTATTTTGGCTTGGATATTCAAATACTTCTGTGCAAATGTCATAAGTTGGGAATAGGGACATCCATCCTGTATTTTCAGAGCTTGAGAACACAGAGCCAGCATGTTTCTTTCCTGGAGAAAAGCAATGCTTCACATTTTTCTGCGGCATCCCTTCTTAATCTGATAGTGGTTCTTAATAGTCTAAAGCTGATTATGTTTTCACTTTCACCCCGTCATTTTCATTTGTAGTCTTAATATTTTCCAAAGGATAGTGCTTCTGAAAATGCAAAATCAGTTTGTTTATAATGTAATTAGATAGAGTTGAACATTTGATTGTGATCATTTAATGATTATTGTCAGTCTCTGATTTTAACATCTATTTTTATTAATCTTCATATTTGTTTTCTTTTTAGTTACGGACGAGTTTATGCTGCAGACCCCTACCACCACACACTTGCTCCAGCAGCCACCTACGGCGTTGGTGCCGTGGTAAGTGATAATTTCCTCCTCTTCCTCATTAAT